GATTTGTTCATTCGTGATGATATCTTCAATTATCTAATTTTAATGAATATTTCTGTCATTTTTGGTAAAAAGTGATATTTTCGAATTCTTGTTGAAAACAGCAAGTCTGATTGCTTTGACACTATACATATTGTTCTTTTTTCTAATGATATCTTCAGTTCTTTATTTGTGCAATGTTCATTGCTAACAGCGGAGCTATCTCACCCGACAGGCTGCTTGTTTAATTCCCAAATTAAAACAAATGTTGCTATTATTATAACTGTGATTAATATCTACATATTTACTCTATATGATATTTATTAACAGGGTAAATTGGAAGATGGTACAGAGTTCGACAGCAGTATACCAAGAGGTCAACCATTTGTATTCACATTAGGGGGTGGACAGGTTATAAAAGGATGGGATCAAGGCTTGATTGGGTAAGTGAAGGCGGTCGTGTCACCAATCATGTTTATGGCTTGTTACCCAAGCTCCTCAATATGCCAACATTACTTGCTAGCACCACTTTGTTGGCTTGATATATCAGCAGACAGGATGGTGGGATGGTGCCATACAATGTTCCTGTGAGATCATATAATCTGGAGCTCCACATATGTTCCAACAATTAATGCACCAGATTACTCTGATTTATTTTCATACATTCAATATAATTTATCTTTCAGAATGTGTGAAGGAGAAAAAAGAAAACTGGTTATTCCGTCTGAATTAGGCTATGGGGATAATGGTGCACCACCCAAAATTCCAGGTCAGTTCTCTGAATTACTTTATTTAAGGTGAAAAAATCACTATTTTGTGTCCTATAATCATGGAAAAATTATATTATTTTGTATAAGAGTTTGTCTCCTGTGGTGTGATAATAGTTGTGACTTAACAAACATGTTATATCCATTGTTATTGAAGATATTTTTCCTTTTTTGTTATTACAGGTGGTGCTACGCTTGTATTTGAAGTGGAGTTACTCAAGATTGAGCGAAAGTCTGAGCTTTGAAACTAAAGTAATGATTATAGTTAGTTAGATAGCATATAAATTCCCCTCCAATCAAGATATAATATTGTTGTTTGGGAAACAAAATACTCTGGGTTATTTTTTCTTACCTACCGTATTTGGGCAAAGCTTGAAATCTGGGCCTGTGCTTGTCCCACTCAAAATAGGCCAATGTTATCATTTCTCAACATTTTTGTCATCGTATTTTTTTCTATTTTCATCAAATGCTCTTTCAATATCGACCCCAGTTATACAAGTACTTTAACAGAGAGATTTGTTCTTACTGTACCCAAACTAGACTGATGTCCCCATAGCAAAAACATATGTATGTTGATAATAAATATTGATAATAAATATTTGTAAAAATTTACAAGTCTGATGGTGAACCAAAAGTGTATCGTTTGAATGTAACGATTTTTCCAACTAAAATGTTGGTCCAACATTCATGGTTACCCGAAGGCTGTTCATAATTGGTAGAACAGAATTCAAATTCTACCTGTGATTAACGACCAAGTAGTGGAGGTCAAACCCATAAGCTGGGGGAGAATGTTATACTCAGTGGGAAGGTCAATGGCTGAGATTCATTCTTTAACAGAAAACTGATGGTAGTGTTTGACCAGGCCTGATGGAATTTCCCTACTCCAGCTACCTCAATCTGTTTTTCCACTTTGCTTTTGATCTGGACAGGTTTTACATTAAATATTGACTTGACTTGTTGAAAAATCCAATCATCTCAGGAAACATCTTTTTTTTTTGTAATCGTTGATATATGCATCCAAGTTAGCCTTTTCGCTTGTATGGGATCCACATCTTTGATGAAAAGATGGTCACGTACTCATGGAATATGGTTACTATGGTATAACACATTGTAAAGGTACTGTCCTGCACTTCCTCAAAAATATTAAATTCTTACCGTCATTTGGAGGAGTCCTGAGCAGCATTTTATAGAGGGCTCCCTTTTAGAGGTCTAATATAATTGTTGATACAGCATGCCTGTATCCACCAGAATAAATAATCGCGACTTCCATTAGGTTCATCTTTTTCCGTATTTTGAGCACAAAGTAAACATTGAAGTGTTGTGGATGGGCATTATCTACAGGTCAGTCTGAATGTGTGTATTCCCATGGTAATGTACTGAAGTCATGGAGACAGCCAATCAGTGATGACACAGAATATTGTTCCGACTACATAGCTACATAGTGATTCACCATGAAAATTGACTTTCTTTTGGTATGGTATTCAAAATGTTGATTATGAAAGTACTAATAATAAATAAAATGTTGGTGATTATATGCGACCCCCCCCCAATACCCTTCATACCCTTCAGCGGGAGGGTTGTCACCTGCGCAGGAATTGAGTCCTAAGCGACGATAACGCGCGATAAAAAACGCAAAGGCTCATGGGTAGATGCTTGTTTGTAAACAATGATGTGCTATGGCCATCTGACGCATGCGCAGGTGACGACTGCGCTTTAATATTACAGGCAAGACAATCATTGCCGGTATCATTTTGTACGCGTTTTAATTTGATTGGTCCACCATGTACGAGATATGGCTCTGTAGATCTGCATTCATTTAAACAAGATGATCGCCAGTCAGCCATTTTAGATTTGATAACAAAAATGCGCGTTTGTCCGATGTATGTGTGAAGTTTGAACTTGATTGGCCCAGGCGTGTAAAACATGGGGGTTTGGAACTGCAATTCTTTGAAACAAAATGGCCACCACGTGTTCATTTTGAAACAGTCTGAAAAATAATTGCATCATCCGAGATTTGGTTCAGGATAATGAAAATGTGTAATTTTGATACATATTTGGTTTTAATGGCCGTTATTTGGTAATCTTGATTATAGAAGAGTTTGGCCCCTAGCATGTGCGAGATGTGGCTGGATACAAAGGGACTGACGAATTAAAGCATAGATGGATGTCAATCATTAATTCCCCATTTTTGGACCATGTCCAAACAGGGACTAATAAAATATAAATGATGCATCAACACCAGGTGGCACTGTTTCATTTTAATACCATTATGCAGGTTGGTTGCATGGTGGGAAATATACTTTTCACAAGAGGGCGCTATACTGAGAATTGTTTTCTACTAAAGCAAAGAATATGGGACAATGGCATTCAAATACAGAAATAAACAGCGTACCGGTAACTATGACAACCTTTCTCATTGTTGGGATTCCAGATATTAAATAAGAATTCAGACACAAACTAGACTGTTTATCACACTGGTGAATATTTGACTAGGACACTGTATGTATTAATACATGTATAATAACATTGTATCTATACTAATACACGTGCAATATTAATCACAAGGTCTAAAATAAAATAAAACATGAATTCCAAATATTATATCAATATACTTAAAGGGCGATGGTCGTCGTCCCACGTCCTGTTTGATATGGGACTCATAGTGACGTATACAACGCATGTAAAATACTTTATTTACATGAAATCCGAACACCCGCTACGCAACGACCACCATGCTTTAAGCAAAATTTTGGCAAGGGAAAAAACTATTTTATTGCACTATCTTAGTAACAGATCTTGGAGAGTATATTACATCTGGTTCTCAGCAGCAGTGCAATGTCTTCATTTTTTGCACTTGTTTTATTTCAGCAAAATTTGCATGTTTACCGCTACTCACACCAACATGCATTTCATAGTGATTGATGGTTTCCAAGTTGTAAACTGATAAGAGAAGGTTTTGTTGAATTATTGTAACTACACAAAGATTTTAAAGAAATTATATTCACTATATCTTGCCACTAATAAATTGTACACATGTACCGTGTTTAAATTAAATAAGTATGCCCAAATGTTAAAATTTGGAGTTTTGGAAACTAAATTGCCTTTGAACCACATCCATCCAGTCATGTTAGATAAATGATGTTGGAGAGTGGAACTGTACATGTAGCAACCTTTGCTGGCACAGAGATGTACTTTATTTTACATCAAAAGATACAATTATACCAGTAATCAAGTGGTTAATCAAACTTTAAAAAATCTTATCCTCAACTATAAATCTTGGTCATATGACATTTCAAACCCCCAATAGGATTGGGCAATATTGATCCTGGTCCAGCTTGTGTATATACAGTCAGTCAGTGGCGAGATCCTTGAGATACTGGTAATAGAAATGACTACATCTTCTGAGGATTCTGGTGGCTTGTAGTTCAACCTCTGATTCATTGCTTTGAATAGATGTTCTGTCCACAAGATGACTGCATATTCCTGAAACACAGTCAAAAATGTCAACCAAGGCCCAGGAGAGTAAAAATACTGTCTTTCTCGACTGGTCAGCAAGAAACACTTTTTGATGTGGTTCTTAAGGTGCATGCTAAAGCGACCAAGACCCAGTGATAAAGACCAATCAGAAATAACAATTTTTGAACAAATAAGAATGGGTCAACATTGTTCTCAGAGATATTCTACAAAGACTAACTCTCAATGATCTGTGTTGAGGGTAGCAAGTCTCAGAGTGCAGTATTTGTAACTATCCACAGAAACTGAGGAAACACATAAATGTTGAGGTTTATTCTGCCAGGGTACGTGTCAATTTACAGTAGTGTGCTAAACTGATCAATGCTATTTCGTGCCTTTAAACTTGTTCCAAGTCAAAGAGATAATCTCATACTGAGCACACAAAGTGAGGACCTCAACTACCAGTGACGTGAGAAGCAACGACTGCAATGGGTTTTCCTTCTTTGAAAAGTTGGCTATGGTCAAAGTGCTGCAATGAAGCATGAATGTCAGTCCCAGTCATTTAATTATAAAATACTTGTTTTAAAATAATACATAGAACATCTGCAAACAGGTGAATTAATATTTACTCTATGTGGGTACAACTCATCATAAAGTGATTTCCCTCAATCTAATATTGTACTGATAACTGAAAACTTCCATTGACTCTGGTCCAAAATCTCTGAGTACACAAGTGCAACCAAACTATGTCTCATACATGCTCAAGAAACTGCATTCATAAATCTGAGTAAACCTTAATGTACCTTTAATAACAACTGTCGAAAACAGCGATAACATAGCTCACTATTTTGACATTACCATACACACAATGACAGACATGATTTAGTGACGTCTTAGTCTACCTGATCTGAGCAAAAAGCTAACTAATTTGTAACAGAGCACTAAGAAGCCACACAAGGGTGTTCCTCTGATGGTAACAGCACCCGACTTCCAGTACCTAGGGCTGGGGCTTGTATTCAAGGAAATACAACCCCAATTTGGGGCTGGGATTTGTATCCCAGCAAATATGATACAGTTTGGGGCTGCGATTTGTATTCCAGCAAACACGACCCCAATTTGTCAATTGAAATACTGTAGTTTGAGGACTTGTATGATATAAACTATATAACCAGAAACATTTTGTTTTGTCATTTCAGTGAGAGATCTTGCATGCAAGATAGAATGATTTTGAGCTTTTTTTTTTTTTTTATAGCTCTATGACAAAATATGTTGATCTTTCAAAGGAAAACGCTATAGCATTGTATTCATCCCATAATGCACTGGTACAGAGGTCAGAACATTCAAAACTGGAACAAAGTGCAAACCTATGCAATTATGCATAGAGATAATATGCCACAGGCTTGTAAGTTAAATTCTAAAACCCAATTTTATATTCAGGAAAGTTCATGCAATGCCTCAGCATAAATAACCAATTACTAAAGTGTTTTGAAATTAGACTTTGTAGTGAATTTTAACTGCATTGCAGCTTGCCTTTGTCACTGTTATTAAAGTCAAACCTATCCATAGTCTAGCGTAATTCTTCCCCAAAGGTAAAACATACGCTGGATTATTAAAAGAATTCATCTCTGTACTGATGTACAATTAGGTTTCCCTATTTTCTTTTGTGCATTGTAATTGTTGATTTTTTTTCTTTGAAGTCTCCTTGCTTGAAGTTTGGTACGCAAGTAAGACTAGATGAACCACCTACTAGGATATATACATTACAGGATTATCCATTTTGCTAGAGTAGCTCTGTTCCACATAAAAACAGTTAAGTTTACCTTTTGTGTCGCCTCAGTGGAGGCTGAAATTGGTTCAACTTAATTCTTGACGAGATGGCAAAAGCAATTGATGTGCAGGGTGGGTTGGGTGTTACTCACAAATGAAGACAGCAACCTAGTACAGTCAGTCATAAGACTGAAGATCAATTTTATTTAATAATTCTTTTTTGTTTGTCACGACAACAAAAATCAATTTTAAGAATATTAGCATGCATGGGGCAAAGATACAAATTTCACAACCAGTTGTATGTTTTTTTTTAATTAAATCAGAAGAGGCAGAAAAAGAATCAATTTTAATATACTATTAGAGTTCATTAGCATTTGACGTTTTTTTCCTTATGCAACAAGGGATAGATAGGAAATAAGCTGCAAGTTAAATCACTTTCCTAGTGTGTCTCACTACTACATACTCCTATTCATGGAGCATTTTTTTTCTCTGATACATTCACAATATCAGCTATTTTCAAAACTTCCAAGTTGAGTGCTTTTTTTGTCAATGAGAAAAAAAGCAACAAGTCAAAACAGAAAGATATTTTTATTCCACAAAATAAAAATGAAATCGGCATACATTCACATGAATGGCCATCCTCAACATACCACAAAACAAATACTCTTTCTGAATCTGATATCTAAAGTTACAAAAAAAAAAAAAAAAAGTATTTTTTACACATTTACACAAAGGAAAATCATATTTAATATTAAAATAAGGGCTGCTTGTTTTCCTTTTTCTGTTTTTTTTTTTTTTTTTAATGGAATTTATTCATGTTCACCAGTACCAAGTCTATTCTATGCACACGACAGCAGCAGGATTGAAATGGTTTTTAAAAAAAGCCTGAATAAGAAAATTCTAGTTGAGGAAAACAAATAACAGCCCAGAGTGGGGAAAGGGGGCAACTTTAACAGAACTATGTTCAATGTTTGGGGGGGGGGGGGAGCATGAGTTTGGGTTTGGAATTATAATGGTAGTTGTACAATCGTGCATCATGGCCGGAAAGAAAAAAACAAAATTTTGATCGGAAATAAACAAATATAAAGACAAGTCCAGAGTTACAGAGAACCACAAAGTGAACAAGGGGAAAGCTAAGAATGATACCTAGTAACAATAAACTAGAAGAGATCATCTTACGGTCCCCCCATCAGAGCCAGCTGAACATTGAATCTGAGGTTGCTTAATACAAAGGCCATTGGCAAATCTACCTGAGTTCAAACATGAGCAGGGCTGTTTTTTTTTTTTTTTTTGGTTTATTTTGTTTATGGAATATTTATACATGTTGATTTGTCAGCACATATTTTCTTCTTGCAATATTGGCGTACATGGTGAAGATGCTTATATAGTGAATTTGAATTCTTTGTTTTATTGCTGAAGACGACATAATGCACAATGAACATATACAATTGTCTACAGCATAATAAGTGTGCAAGGCCTGGCCTACAGCAGCTCAGTTAGTCACCACAAAATACACACACATGACAACTGCTTCTTTTTTTTTTCTTGTTGCACCAGAACAAATTTGAATTTTTTTTTTTACCAGTTTAAAATACTTCAGTAATTTATCACGTTTAAAACTAGGGCCAGGAAGTCCTGTATGCTGAACACTTATTACAAGAGTCCATTTTATTCAAAAGAAGCAACAAGCTTCCACTAATTATATTCTAAAGCCTTGGGTTTCTTTCGTTTAAGACTATTTTGCATTTGCTTTTTGCGTCTGCTTGTTTGCTGTGTTGTTCATCTCAAGTTTGGATAGTTTCTTCCAGAGATCATCTCGTTCCTTCTCCTTCTTCTTCTCTCTGTTTGTGCAAATCGAAAAACAAAATGTCAGAAGACTGCTTTGCAATATTTTACGTGAAATGACAGACTACGATGGTTATGTAAACATGGTGATTCTCTACAATGGCAGCACTAACTACTTTGTGCCCAAGAAATAACAGTAACTTACTTTTGTCTTTCAGCTTTGTAATTGGATGTGAGTTCATCAAACAATTTACTATTCATTTCCATAAATGTTTTCAACACATTGTACACAAGTGCTACAATTGTTCTGCAAGATAAAAACCAACAAAAATAATTTACAGTATTCCAATCATATATACAAGCAA